ACTGGGTTGGAGTAACCTTAGATTCAGTGGTCAGACTTTGGAGGACAATGGTGATATAAGAACCAAGGCCTGGCAGGAATGGGATCATGTTATCACCCACACAATCTCTGTTGAGCCCTAGGGTTCCAGTGCACAGCTCAGGGCCACTTGTGGGCCCCTTTGTCCATGACCAAGCACTCACATACCTCACCCAGGGTCCCTGACACCACCCCAAGCCAATGCTCCTCAATGAGGGGTACTCAGAGTAGGGCACCTGGATATAGGCTGGGAGCGGGGCAGGAACTGAGACCCTTAACAGCAGGATGCTGCGAATTTCAAGCCCTGGGTCTGCTGGTTTCTATACAGAAACTCACACACTCACATATGCACAAAGACCCCTAAATTCATGTACACGTAATTCTCCACTCAGTGTTTCACTCTGACACTCGCCAGAGCTGTTCCAGGCCCAGACCCGCTGCCTGACGTCAGGAGGCAGTCAGACCCTGGACATGCAGGGGGAAGGATTCAGCTCAGCAGGTGCTTTTAACTAGTGGGTACTGATCAATTGAGATTATTTGGGGTGCAAAATTATAGAGTTAAGCAGGACCTCCTTCACCTCATGAGGGGCCTACAAGGATGGAGAAGCCCTGGCTCCTGGCTCCAGGGCCTCCCTGCGAAGGTGAGAGGCAGACAGACAGCAGCTGTGGTGATTGTATATTTTGAGCAGTGGTTTCCAAAACTGGTCAAACTTCTGGGTCACTTAGGGGAGTACAACGGGGAAGATTTCTAAGATTTTGATGCACTTGGTCCAGAGTGGAACCAACTTGACCCTATGATTTGTCAAGCCTTCCAGGCAGTTCTGCTGGCCACTGCTCTACAGAGCCGCAGGAGGTGGCACAGGCACTCGGCTTGCCAGGACAGGGCAGGCTGGACCTTGGGTTGACGGTGGCCAGCTTAACCCCAAGTGTTTGTTTAGCTAACAAGTGGTTACTTGCATCCCGCTTCTTTTGAGCATGACACCTGCGTTTGCCGGGAAAAGACACTGGTCCATGGCTGGAGACGCTGTCGCCTGAGCAGTTTTCACCCAAGGTTGGGAGCATCCTTCCCAGATAGACCCCTGCCCTGAGCTCCTCCTCTCTTCCCAGAACTCCGGCAGCCACTCAGGGTTACTAAGACAACATTACTTTGCAAAGTCCCCTTCCTGGCATCCCCATGATGACATTCGGTCTCTTCCTGGTTAATGGGAAATAAATCCCTGATTCCTGGCAGGTTATAAAGCACAAATCAGTTGCACAACTGTGAGCAAACAACTTTCCATGTAAGAGGCGCTCTGCCAGGTACAAACATATAGGCCATGCTCTGACTGTGGCCCCCTGGTGCTGGTGGGCGCCAGACAGCAGCTGGCCTAGGCACAAAGGAGGGTGGAGGAATGTGAATGCTAGGCCTTTAGCTGGTACCCAAAGTCCCCGTCCCCTGTCTTGGGGATGGCTAAAAGTGAGAACAGCAGAGGTGTAGGACTCCAAAGAAAGGTGATCCTGCAGGGATGAGACCAATTGGTCAATTTAGATCCAGGGACTGAGGCCCGGGGAGCTAATGTGCTACTCAATGTATTAGTCAGGGAGATGCTCCCAACCCTGCATTTCCCACCCACCAACTGCCTCTCCTTCAGCCTCAACATGGCACAGAGACCCAGGCCTTGCTCTCCCTTGGGCATAACCCTGGAGTCCGAACCCAGGCCCCACAGAGGTCTAGACAGCAGCCTCACTCCCAGGAATGCTCTGAGCCGTGACCGTCAGGCCCTCACTCTTCGCAGAGTCAGCAGAGGGAGACTGTGGCTCAGATGCACCTGTCAGGCTCCTGGTCCAAAAGCCAGCCAGGGAAAGGATATGGCAAAAAATGGGGTTCAAGAGGTCGCTCAGAGTCTTCCCTATTCCTGAAATCCCAAGGGGAATGTGCTGCCTAAAGCCCCAAAAGTCTGTCCTTGGAGACTCTGGTTTCATTAGGTCCCCTGTCAATCATGTCCATCATCGTAGGTCTCTTGGTGAAGGGAACTGTCTGCCCTCAGCCCCTGAGAGAGCCAGAGCCTGTCTGGAGAATCGCCTTGAATCCACAATTTCTTGTTCCAGGCTGTGGGAGGACCGGATGAACTGCAGTTTCTATCTTTAGACTCTCGTGAGAATCCTGTATTTTTAGATTAATGCCTCCTCCTGAGCTAACTTGCATGGGTCCCACTGCTTGCTGGTAAGAATAGGGGAGTAAATGTTGTGGAGGTGGCTGCCTCAACGCTAGGCTGAAGGACGAATAAGGGCAAACATTTACATTTAGAGAGAGGAGACTGGAAAAGGTGGCTGGGTGCTAGATCAGGGGAAGAACAGGCAAAGGAGAAGCCTGAAAGGGGAGCGGAAGAGCCTGCGCTTGTCCTATAGATTTTTACTGTGTTTCCCTGACTGGGGGGCGATTACATACTGGGAAACAACCCATGTGAAGCACATGACTGCGTCTTCTACAATTTTATAGCTGAAGATACTGCTCTTTATGCACAGTATAAACAAAGGAGACCTTCCCCTTGGGGTAGACCACGAGCTCTCATTGCATAAGATAGAAAGGATCATACGGTGCTTACCAGTCCATTTCCTCATTGTTTCCTTGGCTGTGAGAAAATCCAGGTGTAACTTTCATGCTTGGCTGCAGGAATCCTTTTTTTCTGAGTCATTCTATGTGTATCTACTCTTCTTATTAAAAGTTTCTGGTCTTTCCTTTTTCTATCTGCCTTGTCGTATGGTTTGATATGTGCTTCTAAACTATAAGCAGTCCCACCTCCTTTGGTAAGCAGTCTGGATTTTAATTGAAAATAGGGAATTGGTCTGCTCTATATCACAAAAATACTCTCTGCATAGCCCCCAAGTGTAGTGCTTGAAGAAGAGCCAGTGGGATTGAAAATTCAGTGATGTGACAGTGTAGTTGTGCTAGAGGCCAGGGACACAGAGCTGCCCTGTCACCCGCATCCTACCAGCCCCAATTCCTTCAGTATGTCCAGTCCAGCTCTCGCCCCTGCCTGGGAAGTCCTGCAGAAGGAGCACATCTGGGAGAGACCTCTCCCTGTATTCACTTCTCAGATTCGATCCACACACCCATGTGGGGATTTTTTGGTGTACCTAGTCAACAAATATTCATCAAGTACTTCCTGAGCATGAGGTGCTCTCTCTGGTTGCTCAGATACAAAGAAAAATAAAAAAGAAAACTAATTTTAACGAAAATATTTCATTAAGTGGCCCTTGACACATTCATGAACTATTTTTCAATCTCATTTTGTGACTCCTAGAACTGGAGCTGCAATTCACTCTCCCCTCAGTTTGCGGTATGGCCCTGCAGATCCTCAGCTCCACCAGCCCTGAGATTTGCTAAAAACCATGCATGGTCATGAGCAAGACTGTGGGCCCACGGAGTCAGATTCCTTCCCAGAGGGAGGTTTGGTTTGCTGACTGAATGACGAATCATTTGACCCACTGGGTGTGAAACTCACTCTTGAGGAGTTTTTCCTCTTGTTTCTACTAAAAATGGACCTATTGACCTATAAGGGGGCAAGGACATCATAGAAGGAAGGGGACTCTGAACATGGACAGACTGAGACCGATAGCGCCCTGTGAAGAGGAAGGTCAGTGGTCTGCCTGACCTTTCGCCTCCCACCGTGATCGTGGCATTCGCCACCTTATCAGATCAGTTTCCTAAAAGCGTGCAGGAAGGAAAGGCTGTCCTTTGTCCTCATGATCACCTCGGTGACTATAAGGAGGCCACAGCCACTTGGGCAGGGGCAGGGAATTCCTGGGACTAATCATTGTTACCGGTGGTTGTGTAAGAAAAAGGGGTTCTGTGAAGAGTCACCTCACAGGGTGATCTCATCATAAATGTCTAACTGGGCAGGTTACAGCGAGTAGTCACACTCCAGGCATTTCTCTTTTTTAGTAAAAGGTTTATCTATGCCTTGAGCTAGCTGTGTCCATTGTTTTCCGGCATCTAGGTTAACACACCTTCGAAGTGCCTCTTTTCCGACCTCTCGAGGGGAATGGCCCTCCAGAGAGCACACGGTCTTGTTGTCTGTCCTGTAATCCAACCCCTGCCCTGCCTTCTCCACCTTCAGGCAACCTTCCTTTCGTTCCCTCCTTAACTCCAAATGCATAAAGGAAGCTGCAAATCGTCATTCTGGGAAGCGTCTTCTCCGTTGTCTTGCTTCCAGGCCTATGCTCTGTTTGGTTCAGAAAAACTTTTTTTTTTTTTTAATATATCTTTATTGATTTCAGAGAGAGGAAAGGAGAGGGGGAGAGAGAGATAGAAACATCAATGATGAGAGAGTCACTGATCGAGCCCGCAACCTGGGCATGTGCCCTGACCGGGAATCGAACTCCGATCGCCTAGATCCTAGGTCGATGCTCAACCGCTGAGCCACGCCCGGCTGGGCCAGAAAAACTTTTATAAAAATTCTCTACAGGTTCAGACGTTCTAGCGTGGATTTTGGATATTGCCAATTTTGGAAATTGGCAGTGGAGGGCTTTCTGGTGCTGCTAATGAACAGCTAGATCAGTATCCATGGCATAGATAGGGCTGGGCCAGCCATGGGAAGGAATCGAGGGCAGCAGAGTTTGGCATCAAGCATTGGCAGCCCTTGGACAAAAGGAGGTGGGTCTCGTGGAGGCAGATGTGGCCCTCCGCTGGGCCCTCTGGGGGCCGCAGTGTCCTAGCTGAAAAAGGAGAGAGCTAGATTGGCCCCCTTCCGTGGTTGACTGTAACCCAGTGGCTTGCTCTTAGGCAGGAGAAAATGCCAGCCTTTGCCAAGAACTGGACCAGAAACCCTCATGTCCCACAGCCAGCCTCTTTTCACTTCCCCAGCCCGCGGTCCAATACAAGCCCTCACTTCCCTCCCACCCCCAAGAAGGAGTCAACAGGGCCAGAGAAGCCCTCACTGCTTCTCTTTTGGAGTGGCAGGGAGCTCAGCAGAGCCCGGGAGGGCTGAGGAACCTGCCTCCTCAGGCTGGGAATTCACAGACGGCCAGGTAGGAGGAAGAGCAGGACACGTCATTCCAGAGCCCGTCCCTTTGGAGGACCACACAGTCCTCCTCCAGGTTATGGTTGTTAGGCTCGCCCTTCTTCCAGTTGCTGTAGGTCAGCCTCCCTCCTGTCACATACATAAACTGGCCTTCGGTCACTTCATCTGTGATGCCCAGGAAGACAGAGTCATTGGCCACATCCTGGACGGCTGCGTTCTCCTCGGCATTCTTGGGGGTGGCCACGGTGGCCTGGAGCTCGGCGCACAGAGACTTCACTTTGGAAAGAGGCACCTTTTCACCATTGGTCACATAGAGCTTCTTTCCAGATCTTTTGCCCAACGAGAAGGTTTGCACTGAAATCCCAAAGGGTAGATGGGGTTGACTTGGCCTGGAGCCCAGTCCAGGACGGTGGGTGACAAAGCCCTTGTCTGGGAACTCGGGACTCTGAAAAAGAGCCTGTGCTNTGGAGCCCAGTCCAGGATGGTGGGTGACAAAGCCCTTGTCTGGGAACTCGGGACTCTGAAAAAGAGCCTGTGCTCAAGGTGCCTGGGCAGAGCCTAGTGAGGAAGAGCTCCTCAGGGGTCTAGCAAGGCCCCGGCAGAACGCCTGGCCTCTCCTGGGTACCCGGTCCTGGACACGGTCACTCTGTACAAGCTGCCCCGTGCAGGTGGACATAGGGGAACAGGCTTGGGCCCCACTATCAGGCTTGGTTGGTTTCTATCAGGACAGGAAAGGGGCATGGCCGGCCATCTGAGAACAGTGGGTGCTGGGGATGGAGCAAAGATTCTGCAGTCAGCAGACGTCCAGGCCACCTTTCCTCTGCTGCTTCCCACCTGCGTCCTGTTGGATGAATTATCTACAATTCCTGGACCGATTTCTCTCACTTGTAAATAAAGTAAGTGTAATGCTCACAAATAGCTATGGTGAGAGGAGTGAATGAAACCATGTTATGAGAAAAGGCCAACCTTGCACGGGCCCTGGTATATAATGTGTTCCAAATGTTAGCTCCCTTCTGCCCTCCGGAGAACCTGCAGTGCCCTGAAGATAAATGCGAGAGCCAGGACCCAGGGTGCGGGGGGCGGGGGGGTGGTGCGGACAAAAGCCTTACGCTTTTTGATGTGGTCCAGTTCGGACTTCAGGCTCCTTAGCTCTCTCTCTAACTTCGCCAGCGCACTCTCAGCACCTGCAAAGCAACACGGAGAAGGGCATTTATGGAGAAAGACACCCTAAATTGGAGAGCAGAGCATTTTGGAAAAAAGCAACACCACAAGTAAAAACAAGAAAACAAAAAGCAAAAGGAAAAACCCTGTCTCCCTGCCCTCCAGATATAATTCATAACTCTTAGAAGCTGTAACTCTGAAACTAACAATAACAATAACTTTTAAACTACAGCTCTGGATCTTTTTTTCCACACACCCCTTAAAATATCGCAGTATTATAATAATTTCTAAGAAAAGGCCTAACTCATTAGCCTTAGAGAAAATTTTGCTTAATCAGACACTGTCATTTCTTATTCCAGGCACACTCTCTAATATTTTTATTATTGTGAAAGGCCAGTGGACACATATTTACGTGAGGTCATCATTTGGTGGCGGTTGTTACTGATTACTGTATTTCACTGTGAATTAACTTATTTAATTACTTTTTGGTTGTTGCTAATCGTCACCTGAGGTTATTTTTTCCATTGATTTTTTTTTTTCTTTAGAGAGAGTGGAAGGAAAGGAGGGAGGGGGAAAGAGAGAGAGAAAAAGAGAGAGAGATGGAGGGAGAGAGAAACATCAACATGAGGGAGACACATGGACTGGTTGCCTCCCCCACAAACCAGGGCCAGAAATCAAACCTGCAACCCAGGTAAGGGCCCTTGACTGGGAATCTAACCCGCCACCCTTCGGTGCCCAGGTGACGCTCTAACCATGGAGCCACCCTTGCCAGGGCTAATGACTTTATTAATTCGTTTATTGCACCAGGGGTCTTATAAAGCAGACCATTTTCATGCCATTTTTGTGACAAAAAGCAAATTCAACAGCGGAGAGGAGCCATTTCCTCCCTCACACCCTGGAGCCTCACACTGGGCTGTTCCCCCTGAAGGAGAGCGGGGCCGCCTCCTGCAGCGCCCTGAGGGGGGGTGGCAGGGTTCGAAGCCTGCACTCAGGCCTCCGTGGGAATCCCTCCAGGCCCCAAGTAAGCCTGGGAAGAGCGAGAGTGCCAGGCCAGGGGGCAGGGCTGAGCACCTGCCAGGGGGCAGAAGGGGCCTCCCACCTGGCCTCGAGTCCCCAGGGCCAGGGCCCCTCAGCGCCCCCGGTGCTGGGATGGGCTCCTTACCTGAACTGTCTCCGCGATCTCCTTTCTGGCCCTTGACTCCTTGCAACCCAGGAGCCCCTGTATTCCCTGGAGGCCCCAATTTCCCTGGAGGGCCCTGCAAGCCTCTCAGCGCTTGCCCTGTTGGAAGATGAAAGAAATGTGACCCAGTGGCCATTGCTCATTCCCTTCCTCCAAAAGCTCTACACTAGATTCACACTGACTCCAGAAACCACCAGCCAACTAGTGGTGGCCTGAAGAAGGAAGACCTTCCTGCATCCCAGGGCCAGCTTCCTAGGTGGGCAGCATGCCACCTCGTGTGACAACCACACATCACCAGTTCCCACGTGGCAATGGGGATCCGGGAGAACCGCAGAGCTCTGCTTAGGAGAGGGTGGCCCTGCGCAAGAATCCTTCGGAGCGATGCATCACCCAGCGTGATGGAAGGTGAGCCTGCGCGTGGCCCCGGCTAGATCCCTCTTGGGAGTAAAGACTGAAGAAGTCAGACCAGCCTCCCGTACCTGGTTCTCCTTTTTCTCCCTTGGGTCCGTCTCGCCCATCTCTGCCTGGGGTGCCATTGGTGACCGGGATGCCACAGGTAATCACTGAACAGGTCTTCTGCGCATCCTCGCAGGTGACGGCTTCTGAGCAGGACACTGTCACCACACACAGAAGGACAGGAAGTGATACAAACCGGAACATGGTCCTCACCTGGTAGTGGAGAAAACCGAGGGAAATAATTTCATCTCACCTTGTTTAGTCAACATTTGCTACTACCTCTGGTGTGTTCGACCCTGTGCCCGCAACAGCAGACACACAGCCCTTGACCCTGAGAGGAGACAGACAAGTAAGTAGAATTAGATCAGTGCTTTTTTCCCTTGATTTGGAATATTCTAATGTGAGGCTTCTTCCTTCCTTCCTTCCTTCCTTCCTTCCTTCCTTCCTTCCTTCCTTCCTTCCTTCCTTCCTTCCTTTCTTTCTTTCTTTCTTTCTTTCTTTCTTTCTTTCTTTCTTTCTTTCTTTCTTTGTCTCTCTCTCCCTCTCTCTCTCTCTCTCTCTCTCTCTCTTTCTTCTTTGTTTGCCAGCCAGAACCCAGAATTTCTGTTTATACTCCCTTGGCAGGATTTCAGCTCATTCTTCTTCCCCTGGCAGGATTCTCNGTTCTAATGTGAGGCTTATTCCTTCCTTCCTTCCTTCCTTCCTTCCTTCCTTCCTTCCTTCCTTCCTTTCTTTCTTTCTTTCTTTCTTTCTTTCTTTCTTTCTTTCTTTCTTTCTTTGTCTCTCTCTCCCTCTCTCTCTCTCTCTCTCTCTCTCTCTTTCTTCTTTGTTTGCCAGCCAGAACCCAGAATTTCTGTTTATACTCCCTTGGCAGGATTTCAGCTCATTCTTCTTCCCCTGGCAGGATTCTCTGCTGCCCAGAGGCCTCCGCAACTCTGTACCCCACCCTGCTGTCAGATTCCCCTCCACCCTTTGCTCAAGCTGGTCCCTCTTGCAGGAAGCCTCGGCAGCCCAGCCTGCACAGGCCTCTCCCTCTGCTCCTCTCTGGCCGCTAGTCCCAACGTTGCCTAACTACTCACCTGTCCTGGCCTACCCTGTCGGCTCCCTGAGCCCTTCCCCTCCCCAGGGCCCAGTGAGAAGTAGTGAGCTGGAAAGAAACTTATCACATTCTGCTCCATCTTTCCTTTCTTTATCTTCTTTTTTATCTGCCTTCCCTGATTGTGCTGGAGGCCAAGGTCAGGCTTAGACACACCCCATTTCCATTCTTCCCTTTGACCACAAGGACCACCCTTCAGTTTGCAGATGGTCAACTGGATCCAAGAAGAACATAAATGCCACAGGTCAGAGAGAGACAGAGGCCCTGAGTGGGCCTGACAACCCCACCAAAGCCCCTGCCTGGGCCTCACCAGGATCAAGTCAGATGGCCAGGCTCTTGGTCCAGGACTCCACCTCTGTCCTCCAGAAATGACTTACTAGGGCCTCCTCAGAGCACGAAGTCTGTGGCACGGAAGCTGTCCTCCAGCCTCAGTCTCTGGCAAATGCCTCAGCAACTTCAGGCCCATTTAGTCTGGTGACCAGGGACATTGCTGGACCCATGACCTTCACCCCAGGTTAATAAACAACCATTCTTAGAACTGTGTGCTGGGCAGTTCTCCAGGGCTGCTGGTGGGCTCTTCAGCACAGCACTGGGTAGCTCTCCTCCTTCTATTGCTCCGTCCCATGCATCCATCTCTGTAGCTGGGCAACTGATCCTCTAGAATCACAGATTCTCAGGATATTTTCCTACAAATATTTTTTATAGAGGGGACATGCATAGACATTCTACCAAACCAAACACATGCTCATGTGTGCTCATGTGCATGTGAGAGCACACACACACACACACACAGAGGCACACACACACACACAGAGGCACACACCTCTGTATCTGTTGTTCTAACTAATGCACCCCTCCACTTGTGTTTAGTTTACTGACAACAGTGACTCAGCTCATTCCAACCTTCTCATTCAGAACATTTATCAAATGTCCTCCTTGGGCATGTCATGGGGCTAGGCCCCAGGAGAAGTATTTGTAGATAAGCTACATTCAAAGCTGAATGTGGCATTTGTATTAGCTGTTCCAGCCTAAAACACTTCCTTCTATCTTTGCAGAATTGTTTGTCATTCAGATTTCAGCTTAAATATTATCTCTGGAGAAAGGGCTTTCCCTAACCAGTTAACTCTAAGTAGCCACTCTATTAAAATTGTAATTCTCTGCCTATAATTTATCTCTGTAAAATAATCTTTATTTGGCTGCATATTGACTTCCCGATTCCTTTAGAACAGGAACAGAAGTATTGTTTTTCAGCTGCTGTATCCTCACCTGGAAGAGAGTCAAGGGTCAACAGACATTAATGGAACAACCAAATCTTCCAGCATCATGTCCTCGAAGCAGCCCTCTTGATTTCTCTACAGCTAGAGTAAACATCTGTGATGACTTTTTCAGGGTTCTTACTTTTCTAGGGCAGGAGCTCGATATGATTCACCACCCTGTCTCCAGGGTGCAACCCTGGAGGTACACAGAAGGACCCACTGAGGTAGTGAGGAGAGAAGCAGAGACCATGAGCGGGGCAGATACCGGACTAGTCCATGGCTCCTCCATGCCTGGGCTTCCAGGGGTGTCCAGTTTTTATCAGCGAAGGCTGATTAAGTGGTCTTTTTCAAGTCTCTGACATGACCTTTGATTCCTGCCCTCCCCCAAACTTACTCTCACTCTTTGAAACACTTAGTTTTATCAAACAACTCAAAGGTTTGCTTTTTCCTTAGTGGGGAGCAGGAACCAGGTCACTTTTCTTTGACCCTGCTTTGTGATTGGTGTTTTGACTTCTCAAAAGTCACCGGTCCTGTGTACTCAAGTCCTCGTGCCATGTTCAGCAGCCCTCCCAGATTCCTGTTGTAAAGGAACCTGCCAGGCACTAAGAGGGGCCCTTTGTAAAGAAGACCCTTCCCAGGGCTGTGTTTCCTGATGCCACTAAAACAAATTTGTGCCAATAGGCTCCGAGGACAAGGCACATTCAATCCATACAGCAAATGAACAGACCTCCCAGAGAGGTAGAAATTTGAAACTGAGTGACTTACATAAAACTAGGACCCTATATGTGCTATAGACTTAGGGGAAGGGGAGCTTGGGACAGAAGGAAGAAGATAAGGCAGGAGGGGGGAGGAATGTGCACTGTCAGCTAAGGGGTAATAAGAGAGCAGTGACTCTGTGGGGAAAGATCCTCCCTGAGCACGCATATCCACAAGTCTGTCTTCTCACAGATCTGAGGTTTGAATGTATGCTATCATCATTATTTGCTGTGATTATTATGAATAAATTTTTCTGTTTACCTCAAGATGAAAAATAGTGTTTCAAGGGTCTCAGCTCATCACAACCTAGTGCACTGTGGGGACGTAAAAGCATTGGAGGACCTTATCCTTAACCCAGGCACCTCAGGATTTGCCTGGATGGAATCAGGTAAATTTGAGTTCACCTTGCAAAAATTACCAAACACAGTAGGAAATAAGCAGAGTGAAAACTGACTGAGATGACAAGCTTCAGAAATAATCCTCTAAGGGAGGACCCAAAGTGGTGGCAGACTAGGTGGAGGTTACATTCACCTCCTCCCAGGACCAAACTGGAACTACAACTAAAATACAGAGCAATCAACCTGAATAACCAACTGAAGACTCGCTGAACAGAAGTCATATAACCAAGGATTTAGAGAAGAAGCCAAATTGAGACTGAGAGGAAGTGAGGAGACATGAAAAGGACTGGCCCCACTTCCACAGGTGGTGGCTGAGATTCCACAGGGATAGTTCAGCTACAAAAGTTCCCTCTGAGGAGCATGGGGTCTCAACCCCAAGCCCAGCTCAACAGCCCAGAGCACCAGAGCTGGGAAGAGGCACCCACATTACATCTGGCTGTGAAAATTCTGTCCACCAGGGAGTATTTAGCAAGCATTCTGTGCACCCGGGAGAGACAGAGTCTGCTAAAGACACACGCCTCTTAAAGGACCAATGCACAAAAACCTCATTCACAGCTACTCACCCTAAGCTCCAGCAAAGGGAAGGAAGAGTGGACTAGACACGTGTGAGGAGAAACTAGGGTTTGTGGCTCTAGGGAGAGAGCTGAGGGGACAGCTGCCAGGATCCCTGTGCTGAGTCACTCTCTCACACCACAGATGCCATCTTTCTAGGGTAGAGCAGCCCCCTCCTTATAGCATGAGCCTGGGAGGATGCACTAGCCCCGCTTTATAGACTACATGTCACCCCACCCTGTGATGTTCATGTCCTGCTGAGGAGTCAGCTGCATGGGCCAGGCTGTAGAAATCTGGGCAGACTCAGGACATGTCAGTAACTGAGTGGTGTGGCTTTGGGGCTGGGGCCATTCCTCCTATCTCCCATAAACCTGACTGGTGCCCCCTTTAGAGGAGACTTTCAACCCACCCTTTGAGATTCAGGTGGCCCCAGCCTCTCAACTCCTGGTGGCCCCATGCTGCCAAGGTCTGGGCAGAATCCAGGACAGATTGAATTGTGTGGTTCTGGGGTGGGGGTTACCCCTCCTACCTCCCTCCAAGCCTCACTGGCACCTTCTCCTCATAGGAAATCCACTAGCCCCACCTTCTGGGCTCCCCACAGCCTTGCCTTGTTGAACTTGGGCTCCTGCACAATATTGGGCAGACTAAGTTGTGTAGATTTAAGGTAGGGGCCATTTTCCCCATACATGCCTGACCAGTGCAGAGTTCTCACTTCATGTGGCCAAATCTTAGTTTGTTCAGGCCTAATAAGCTTTGTTGGCCTCACCCTAATGATTCCCTGAGACCCCATCCTACTACAAAGGTCTGCAGGTATCTAGCAGGTGTTAGTTAGACTCAGTATACCCTAGGACATTTCATGAGAGACCTTAGACTCACCACTGGCACCAAGTTTGAACATGTGTTAATCTGGTGAACACCACTCACTCCTTCCTGGTGACTCATTGAGAACCTACCTCATGCAAGTTGAGTACCACCAGAGGATCTTTCAGTGACTGAGCCAATCAGGCAGCCAGCAGGCTGAGGGGGCAAAGGAGGATCTCAGAGTGCTTTTGGATGTTTGCTGACATGCTGTTAAAAGCCAGCATTGGTGTATAGCTTGACCTACACACCCAGTTCCAGCAGAGGCAGCCACAAACTGTGGATCATTTTGTAGCTCCAAAGAGGTTGCCCAGGGTCAGTCACAGGCAGTGTCTGACATTGGCTTGCACCAGAGTTCCTCCCAAAGAAACCCAGAACCAACATACAAATGCACAGCTTCAGGCAATATCAGAACAGGATCTAATTAGGTTCACAAGCAGCATAGCCAAAGGGAGATCTTGGCAGGCACCAGACCCTGTTGAGGTGAATTCTGCTTCATGTGGTCAGTTCGTACACTCTGGTTGGGGTTGATCTTCACAGTCAGCCAGCTTGAGGGTTGACCCCACATACAAAGGTGTCAATAGCAATCAAAATTCAATTACAACAGGAAGGCCCACACAAACCACAAAAGGACAACCTGGGGCACCAAGATCAGGTGATCAAGGAGACTGTGCCACTGGGTCCCACAAGATCCCTACTACACAAGGCCACCCTACCAAGACTGAGAGTCATAGCAGATCTACCTAATACATAGAAACAAACACAAAGGGACAGCCAAAATAGGAAGACAAAGAAACATGCCCTAAATAAAAGAACAGGAGCAATCTCCAGAAAAGAGATAAATAAAATGGAGGCAAGCAATTTACCAGATACAGAGTTCAAAGAAATGGTTATAAGAATGCTCTAAAACTTAGTGAGAACTTTAACAAAGAGATAGCAAGCATAAAATAAGACATAGAAACATAGAAAAAAACCAGTCAGGAAAAAAGAATACAATATCTGAAATGAAGAATACACTAAAAGAAATAAACAGTAGGTTGGATAAAGCGAAGATCAAATCAGCTATTTGGAAGACAAGGTAGCAGAAAACAACCAATTAGAGGGGCAAAATAAAAATAGAATTTTAAACATGAGGATAGTTAAGGGGATCACTGACACAACATGAAGTGTAATTACATACACATTTTAGGGATATCAGAAGGAGGAGAGAGAGAGCAAGGGGTTGAGAACCTATTTGAAGAAATAATGACTAAAATCTTCCTTAACCAGGTGAAGGAAAAAGACACACAAGTCCAAAAAGTGCAGAGTTCCAAACAAATGAACCCAAAAAGGCCCACACCAAGGCGTGTCATAATTAAAATGACAAAGGTTAAAGACAAAGAGAGAATCTTAGAAACAGAAAGAGAAAAGCAGTTATCTACCTACAAGGAAGCTCCCATAAGACTGTAGGCTGATCTCAATGAAACATTTCAGGCCAGAAGGCATTGGCATGAAATATTCAAAGTGATGGAAAGCAAGGACCTACAACCAAGACTACTTTGCCCAACAAAGCTACCGTTTAAAACTGAAAGATAAATAAACAGCTTCCCAGACAAGAAAAAGCTAAAGGAGTCTGTTAGTACCAAATCAGTATTACAATAAATGTTAAAAGCAATAATAAAGAAAACTCCCAACAAACAAAAGTCTTGGACTAGATGGCTTTACGGTGAATTTTACCAAACATTCAAAGAAGAGCTCAAACTATTCCAGAAAGTTCAGGAGGAGGAAAGACTCCCAAACTCATTTTACAAGGCCAGCATTATCCTAATTCCAA